GACGATATTTTACACATAGCTGGTATCATACATTAGCACTGCCGGCTTCTTCACTGTTTTAGTTACACTTTTTATATATTCGCATCAACAAATAAAGTTTATTTGTTAGAGCTGGATTTTAAAAATGATAAAAATTATGATATGATAAAATTTGATAATTTTAAAACAAAACCCAGACTGCAATGAATCAGGATTGACGGTGTGATCACGCATCTTGTGCGATCCGTCCAACGGATGTTTGTTGTTAAGAATTTTCAGTGTTTTACATCTTAATGTATGGAAAAATAATCGATGTTGTCTGTTTCCTAAGCTGCGAATTCCCCAGTAAAAATTCCACCTACCGGCACGTGAAATATAAGCACGCGTGAAAGCTGGATTCGAGATCTTCAGCTTCCTGGTGTTCTTGCTTTCAAAACTTTTGCACCAAAATTTTCAAGTGGTCAAACTTTCGCCTAGACATACGTGGGAGCTGAATTTGAGTTTATGAGGCCTTTGCACACGCAGAAAATGCCCCTCTGAAATTTCAGCCTTCTAGCTCTTCTTATTTCTCAGATAATTTTCTCGCCAAAACTTTCACGAGGCTATAGTCCAGACCCAGATGTACGTGAAAGTTGGATTTGAACCTGCAGAGTTGTATGTGGACGGTGAACATTCTCCTAAAATTGCAGCTTCCTGACTTCTATTGTGTTGCTGTTACAAGGCAAAAAGCTCATGGCAAAAGCGTATGTGTGGAAAGTAAAAGTACATAAGTTAATAAAAGATCTCCTTGAAATTTACTTATATTGTCAATGAAAATAATTGTAATAGTAATTTCTCTGGTCACCTTCAGTTTGTTTGTTTATGAGCGCATCAATATCATTACCAGTATCATTGATTTAGTTAAGCACCAGGAACAATCATCATTAGTGTGTGAAGAAAAAAAAACCCCCAGCTAGGTGGCAATCGATGTAAACACTATATGACGGTGGTTGTCGAATTTCTCTTCGCAGTCTCTTCATTATATATCTCGAATGAGCAGGTTATGGCTGTTGATGTGAACTGACTAATTGTTGAAATTTTCTTAAATTTAATGACTAAATCTATTTTCTGATCTTTCTATGTATTCTTAAAAATTTGCATCACATGCATATTTTAAAATATTGCTGAAAATTAGCATTACGTGCACATTTTGAGCTTAGGTATTCTGTAATACACAGTAATTATATTATAATTTTGATTGTAAATAATATATTTGGACTCGAAAGTTTTTATTGTTAGGTACATAATAATTTGCGAAGATGAAATTGGTATCGTGAAAAGAATGTTTGGCATACGGTAAATAGTTTATAACGATCTATCTAAACTTCGAGAATTATATGTAATTAGTATTTTTTTCAGCACGCTTCTTTACTTCTGCTCAGTTTGGCAGCGTTTTCGAAGTTGCTGCCATAAAACAGCACACAGCAGATGTAAGCAAGCTGAAACACATCTTCAGTGAAGTACTAGAATGCTGGCCTGGCGTGAGCGACCTTATCAAGACCGCGCACGTCACGAATGGGAAAGAATAATTACAAAGAGCAGATAAACAAGGCGAATGTTAGATGAATGTCCCAGTTCAAT